AAAAGAAATGAAGATTTCATAAGAAGAAATTCTATTTCATATAGTTTTTACTGTATTTTTGATCAAATAAATGCACAGCCTTTGAACATAAATAATAATTAATTTAATAAATAAATGTAAAAAATATTATATATATATGTGTGTGTGTGTGTGTGTGTGTGTGTATGTGACCCTGGACCACAAAAGCAGTCTTAAGTCGCCTGGGTTTATTTGTAGCAATAGCCAAAAATACATTGTATGGGTCAAAATGATCTATTTAAATTGAGGTCAGTAAGATTGTTTTTTAAATTATTTTATTTTTAAATTATTTTAAATCTTTTATCAAGGGCACATTAAATTGGTAAAAAAAAGAAATGAAGATTTCATAAGAAGAAATTCTATTTCATATAGTTTTTACTGTATTTTTGATCAAATAAATGCAGCCTTGGTGAACATAAATAATAATTAATTTAATAAATAAATGTAAAAAATATTATATATATATGTGTGTGTGTGTGTGTGTGTGTGTGTATGTGACCCTGGACCACAAAAGCAGTCTTAAGTCGCCTGGGTTTATTTGTAGCAATAGCCAAAAATACATTGTATGTGTCAAAATGATCTATTTTTCTTTTATGCCAAAATTCATGTTCCATTAAGATATTTTGTACATTTCCTACCGTAAATATATCAAAATGTAATTTTTGATTAGTAATATGCATTGCTAAGGACTTAATTTGGAGAACTTTAAAAGCGATTTTCTCAATATTTTAATATTCAATATTTTTTTTTCTCTATTTTGAATGGTGTGGTATTTATTTAATTATATATATAAATATATGTGTGTGTGTGTGTGTGTTAAACATGCAAGGGAAAAGTATTATATATACCCCTAGCATGTTTAATTATTATTAATAAAAAATTATTTATGATGATGATTTTATTATAATTACAAAAAAAAAATTAAGTATGAAATAAGTAATGTTCATTTGTCAATAATTGTAGGAGTCATTTAATGTAATTTAATAAATTAAATTTCTGGACTGGTTTTGTGTACTAAAAATTCATACATAGAACAGCTCTCTTATTTCAAAAGATCAAGGAAAACTAGGTTTCACATTATATAACCTCATTAAACAAAGATACAGAGCGATTTGAAATAAAACTGAGTGATGTTTCTTGTTTTTAGTGACTGAACGTGCAAATCAGGCCAGAGACTATATCCTGAAGAAAGACTTAACAGGGTTTGATGGCTAAGTGATCATTCAGTGGTCATTCCTTACGAATAAAGATTCAAGAATGTATGGTAACAATGGTGTCATTGTAATAATTAATGTCACATGCGCCCTGTCCTCTGTATTTTGTTGTTAAAACAGAAGTGTTGCCTTAATACCTGCAAGGCAATCATATGTAGTGATGTTGTCAAAACGTCACCATCATTAATTAGGTGGCCAATGAGCGCTTAATAAAAGATTGTTTGTATTCAGCGGAGATTCACGCCTCTTGCTCTTTTCATGTGGAACGTATTTGCGTGTCCTTATTTGGGTTATTTTCCCCGGTATTTCGGGGTGGCGTAGTCTCGGCAACGGGGCCACTTGCTACACATAGAAATATGCATCACTATATTTCGATCAAGTCTGCTGAGAATACTCTATATTTAGGTTTTAGGAAGTAAAATCTTTTTTTCCTGTTCAGAGTCATATGCGTGGGTGGAGACGGCATGTTCAGTGAGCTGATGCACTGCGTGATTGGACGAACCCAGAAGGAGGCGGGAATTTCAGAACATGACCCGACTGTAATGCTGCAGCCGTGTGACCTCCACATTGGCATTATTCCAGCAGGTGAACGTTTGCATAGCTCCGTGACTGACATGCGTGCGGAAGAGGGTGGCGACTGTGGACTGTTCATAGCACTGATGCATGGTTTAGACAGTGAGAGGAGTGTTAGTTTACCTCCGTGTTTACTCTTCTCCACAGGCTCTACAGATTGTGTGTTTCACTACCATAGGCATAAATGACCCTGTGACATCGACGCTGCACATCATCATTGGTAATCTGCACATCATCTTTAACGGGTGTCAAAATTTAAACAATAAAATGTCGGTCAAGACTAGACTACTGTATATAACTCGATCTTTTTCCCTTTTTAACTCACCAGGAGACTCTCAGCCTCTGGATGTGTGTTCTGTCCATTATCAGTCAACACTGGTGCGTTATTCAGTCTCTATGGTGGGTTATGGTTTTTATGGAGATGTTTTGGCAGAGAGCGAGAGGCACCGCTGGATGGGCCCTCTTAGATATGATTATTCAGGTATATACGATATAGTATATACTATATGCAAATATAGTTTAGACTGAATACTGATATGTAGGTCAACACTTATTACTTACCTTAATACATATAATCATAATTGTGAGAGGAGAAAGAGACCTCAATCCCATCTCTGCTCATATTCCCATGTCTGTTTGCTCTGCTTGTAGGTTGCATGGTGTATTTGTGTAACAGGAGCTATCCGGGACTAGTGCAATATCTCCCTGCTGATTCCCATATCTCCAGCCCGAGGGACAACACTCGCTGCCTCTCAGGGTCATGACTTGCATTCGTTTTTTTTTTTACCTGGAAATCGCATTAGAAACATTTTATTTGCATATATAACAGTGAAATAATTTTTTTGCATATATAACAGTGAAATTATTTTCACTCAGAAATTGCTAGTAAATTTCAAAGAAACAGCAAGTAACACATTGAGGTAAACTTAATATTTTTAATTAGAAAGACTTAAATAGTATTTTCTTGTAAAACATCTCTCTCTCTCTCTCTGTCTCTATAATATATATATATATATATAGAGAGAGAGAGAGAGTATATATATATACTGACTTTAAAAAACGTTTTAAGTAGGTTGAATGGTCAGTATTTCCTGTTCTGTTTTTGACCTTGAGAACAGGTTGCTACAGTGCAAATTCCCAGGAACTGGAAGGATACGACTAACTCAGAACTGTGTATGAACATTAACAAACCCCACGACTGATATGGATAGACTAGTGTTGGGCTCATATTTATGGATATTAGTGTACTGATTAGAGGCAGGCGCCTCATCAACATAACACAAGTGGCTGGAATTCCTCAGTGTTTTTCTGAAGTGGGGATCCTTCCGTAGGGCTGTTACCATGACCGCTCAAGCAATATGATCTCTAATGATGGAAGAAGAGTAGCTGGTGAAGTGCTAGCTGCTAGTTTTAAAGGAAAAACAAAGACTGCTGAATTAAAGGAATATTCTGGGTTATTCAACCTGATATTATGCATTATGTTATTTTTTCAATTACCACTGACACAACATTCGGAATCAACACTCACAAAGCGCCTAATGTGAGTTAAATTATATAATAATAATAATAATAATAATAATTAATAAAGATCAA